CTTCCGCCTTCCGGCGCCCCGCCCCGGCCCCGCCCCGCAACCGCGGGGACCAATCAGAAATCCACACACCGCCGCGGTCCCGCCTCTGGAGGTGAGCGACACCGCTACCCGCGTATGGTAGGGAAGGGAGGCGGGGCCAGAGGGGGTGAGAAGCTCCCGCTGCGCTTCGGGAGGCGGGAGGGGGAGTCTGAGTATCTTCTCTGCGCGTGCGCGGCGGTTCTGGGGGCATGCCGGGAGATGTAGTTCGCCCGCCCTCCCCAGGGCCGCTCACGTGCCTGCCTCGTGCCGCCCGCGGGACACGTGACCCGCCCCGACGGGACCCGGGAACGGGAACGTCCCGGCAATGACCCCGCGGGACTCGCTGGACAGCGGGGCGCGCTGTCCCGGCGCCATGGCAAGGGACTGGCTGAGGCAGCGTGGAGGTCACAGCAGCTTTATTGAGGGCCGCAGGGCCGCCCCCCGCCCCATCGCAGAGGTCCTCACCCCATTCCTCTGCCCCGTGGTGGTCAGGAGGCGGAATCTCCCATCCCTCTCGATGGGTAGCGAGGCGGTGGCAGCCATGGTTTGGGCGTCCCAAGAGCTCTGGCAGAGCAGCCTCTCAGCGGCACACAGGGAGTGGCTGCAGCCAGGGCTGGCACCAGGCAAGGAGAGCCCTCCGTTGGTGACTGCCCAGCCATGTCCTCGCTGTCTTTGTGCTTGCCTCAGGTCCTGGCCAGGTTCTCGTGCTAGAGGTGTGCGAGCCCTTGACACAGTGGGACATGTGCTTCCTCCAACAGCACAGGGCCTGCAGGAGGGTCAAGGGGTACAAGCAGGCCACGGAAGCCCAGGAGGCAGGGAGAGGGGAAGCCAACTGGTTAGTGGAAGACTAGGTGGGAAAATCATCTGAGCATAGGAGTCTGAGGCTCAGGGCCCAGCAGAGCCTTGGAGGGAGCAGAGGGACCAAGGGGGTTGGCCATGGTGTAGGGACCTGCAGCTCAGTCCCGTCTGGCACTTCGCAGCTCTCACTTCTTTCTGTTCATGATCTGGCTGGAAATCCAGTTCATCCCATCCTGGAGGGAAAAGAGATTGTGAGCACAGCCCCAAGAGCATGGCAGGCCCCTGGGTCCTCTCCCACCTCTGCAGAGCCTGCAGGCCCCCATCTCTACCTGCACTCCTTCCCCAGACAGGGCCGAGCAGGCCTGGATCTGCCACTCCCGGTCCCGGTAGGTGTGGAGGTTCAGCCCTTCTGCGATTTCATCTGCAGGGGCTGCAGTCACCAGGTCCTGCTTGTTGGCAAACACCAGCAGCGGGACCCCCGTGAGGGACTCCTCCTCCGTGAGCTCTGCCAGCTCCTATCAAGAGAGAACCTTCTCCCAGGGCTGCTGCCCTCACCAGAGCTGCCCAGGGTGGGCTGGATACCTCAGCTCCCAAACCACCTTATCCCCTCTCTCTTATTGTAGCTGTGAGGTCTTGACATTCCAAAGGAGAGACATGCCCCCCTGAAGCTCCATAGACCCAGGGTTCTCTGAGGGCTGAAGTATTCCCAGCACTGAGAGTAAAGGGCAGCTGCAGGAGGCTGCTGCCAGTCCCGTGCTGTCTGGCACACCCACAACACCGTCTGGTGCCGGAACAGCCAAGGCTGGCACTCAAGAGTCTCACCTTCCCCTCTCAGAGCTTTATTCCCAGGGTTTGTAACTGAATTTGCTACTCCCTAACCTGGTGCTGGGGAGTTGGGACCAGGGCTGGCACCTGAGGTGTCACTCTCACCTGGGGCAGAGTCACCCTTGTGCCAGGTACCCCTCGGGCAGCACACCAGGCTTGGGGGGGAGCTGCTGGGCACAGATCTGCCGTAGAGGGGCTACCTCTGCCTGCTGGGACTGATCTTGAGCCCTTCCCACAGAGCTCTGGGCACAGCATGGCGCCCACTGCAGCACTACCCTATGGTTGAAAGCAGCCTCTCTGCCAGCTCCAGCCCTCAAAGAGCTGGTGCCAGACAGACCTCCAAGCGCCAGGACCCCACAGCCAACCCCACCGGATCCTTCATACCTGCCCTGTCTCCTCAAAACGCTTCTGGTCGGCACTGTCAATGACATAAATCTGCCATGGGGACAAAAGGGACAGTCAGAGGCCGGGCTGCACAGCCCTTCTGTGGGGCCCACACACCACTGCCGGTGCTGTCACACAGAGGGCACATCTCTCCATGCACAGGGCTGTGGGGGACTGCCCCACTCACCAGCAGGTCTGTGCTGCCCAGATACTTCTTCCAGTATGGGCGGATGGAGCGCTGCCCCCCGATATCCCAGACATTCAGCTTCAAACCATGCGAGTGGACACTCTTTATGTTGAAACCCTGAGCAGGGACACAAAGCCTGGCATCACCAAAGGGACAGTTGGGACCCGCACTCCCTCCTCCCCCCCCACTGGCCGTGGCCCACAGCAGCACCTACCTGAGTGGGGGTGATGGTGCTGACCTCCTCGGACGCCAGGCGCTTCAGCAGCGTCGTCTTCCCCGCGTTGTCCAGCCCCAGCAGGACGATGCGAAGCTCCTGCTCCGGTGAACCCTTCAGCTTCTGGATGACGGAGAGCAGCCCCTGGGGGCACAGGGAGATGCTGGGGGAGTCCTGTGGGGTGCCAGGTGGCTGCAGAGCACCCTTGTTTTGGAGGGGGAGAACTGGGTGCCCTGTTGGCTATGAGTACCCTGTGTCTGTGGCCTGAGCTCTGCTCCCAAGGTGTCCAGGCTTGGGGTGGCTCCATGGCAGATCCACAGAGCCTCAATTACTCGCCCTCCAGGTATGCTGTCCCTGCCCCAGCACCTCTGGCAGCTCCTGAGTGTGCTGGGGGAATGTGCTCAGGGGAGAGCCCTGCTCTGCCAGCCCTCCCAGTGCTGCAACTGAGAGTTGGTGCTGCTCACCCACCCTGGAGCAGGTGGGATGTCACCGGACCCCACTTACCTTCTGCACATCACCCATGGTCCAGGAGTCTCTGTGGCCCGCAGCACGCCTGGGGAGCTGCCGGGGGCCTGTCCCCGGGGCCCACTGGCGGCTGCGTGACTGGCACGCTCCCCATCCCCGGGGGAGGAAGAGGATTATGGGCTCCAGAATTAGCTGCTGTTCCTCCATTTACCCACGGCATTAAATAATGCCCTCAGCAAATCCCCCAGCCAGCTGTCGCCCCGCCGTCATCTACCCCCAGGATAAACCAGGTCCCCCCGGGCTGGGGCACTGGGGCACAGGGCATCCCTCTCCCCGGGTATGGCTGTGCCCTGGCGCACAGGGCTGACACAGCCTCCCACCAGCACCCACAGGCTGCCCCCTCAGAGGGTGGCAGGAGGAAATGCTGAGGCTGGAGCTGCCTGAGGCCACATCACCCACTGCTGCCTGAGGGAAACCACCAGGCCCTGGAGCAGGTCAAGGGCTGGGCTGTTGGCAGCTCGAGGTCAGGGATGGCACAGGACAGGGGTCCAGAGGGACCTTCCCCTGCAGCCCACCCCAGCCCAGGTGGAGTGAAGGGCTTGTGCATTCTCCATTTGCATTAAATACATTAATTAAGCAATGTCTTTGATTCCTGCACACTGCAGTTTGGTCCTCAGATCAGGTTTCCTAGCAGAGAGGTTATCCTTGCGGTGAGGACCGTGAGTCACGCACTCTTGGAGAGACATTTTTATTTATAAATCCTGTTGCAAAGCCAAGCCAGACAACACAGCCACACTCCAACAAAGGAAGGGGAGCAGCACAATCACCCCCCATTCCAATGCCACTGTATGCAGTGATGGGGGATAGAGGGGAGCTTTAGAGGCCACTCTCCACTCCCCCCTGCCCAGAGACCTTGCCAGGGCTGTGGCTGCTCATGTCGCTCCACTTTTGTTCCTGCTCACAGTGGGAATGCTTCATTTTTTCCTGCATAGATCTGCACCCAATTTAATGTTAGGGTTCTGCTTTTGATAGGTTAATCACCCACCTTATGTCCCAGTTATTAGCATTTCCCTGAGCCAGTTGCCATGGTGCTCTGCGGTTTATCCTGTGCCGTTAGTTACTGAGATTTCCTAACAAATATCCTAAAATATCCTCTGCTGGTTTGTGGTTGCTGATCAACATGGAACCCTGGCCTTAGGAGATGGGCAAAACTGCTTAGGCATCAGTTTGGTGACTCCAAGCTGCACGTCCACCGCTCCTCTCTGCCAGGTTCTGCTGGCACAGGCAAACACCAGCCCTGGGGCCACCAGCAAACCCCGTGTGAGCAGGGCAAGCAGCACAGGCTGGTGGCAGGGTGTGCTCGATATGTTGATGCCATCCTGCCTCTGAACTCCCCTTCCTTGGGGTGATGTGATGACCAGGAGGAGCTCTCCAGGCTGCAGGGAGGAGTGGTGATGGGGTGGTGACCCCAAGGCAGCACAGACCATGCTGGGAGTGGAGACTGGGATGGAGAAAGGAACAAGGATGCAGATGGGGATAGGGTCACAGATGTGGATACAGATGGAGATGGGGGCAAGGGACTGGGATGGGAACAGGATGCAGATGGAGATGGAGACTAGGATGGGGAAGGGAACAGGGATGCAGATGGAGATGGAGACTAGGATGGGGAAGGGAACAGGGATACAGATGGGGATGGAGTCACAAATGTGGATGCAGATGGAGACAGGGACAGGGATGGGGACTGAATGGGATGAGGATGAGGATGGGGATTGGGATGAGGATGGGAACAGGGAAGCTGACGAGGATGGGATCACGGATGTGGATGCAGATGGAGACAGGGATGCGGCGGCGCCGCGGCGCCTCCTGTCCCGGCGCTGGAGCCGGTGCCCACCGGGGCGGTGCCGGCGGAGCGGGGCGGGAGGGCGGCCCCGCTCCCCCCGCTGCGGTCTCGGTTCCCATGGCGACACTTCCTGTGGCAGCCGAAAGCGGTAGTGCCAGGAGCGCCGGGCCGGGCCGGGAGAGCAGCGACAGCCGCGCCGCCGGCCGGGGATGCTGCGGGGCCGCGGGCCGCGCCGGTAGCGCGCCGGGCCGAGCCGGGCCGAGCCAGGGATGCAGGGCAAGAGCAAACTCCTGGTGGTCCACAACGGGCGCATGGTGAGTGCCCGGGGCGCCGGTCTCCATCCCCCGGGGCTGCCCCGCCCGGCGCGGTGCGGGGTTCGGTACCGGGCGGGCAGGGCGTCTGTGGGGCTAGGTATCGGCTGGAAAGAGGGTATGCCAGCCCTGGTCCCACCTCCCCAGCACGAGCAGGAGGAGGGATGTATGGGGCCAGGAAACAGGCAGGCAGGAGGGTGTGGGACTGGGTACTGGGCAGGCAGGGGCTGTATCGGGCTGGGTACCAGGCGGGCAGGGGGTGTGGAGTGGATAACGGGCAGGCAGAGCGATGTATGGGACCAAGTAACTGGCAGGCAGGAGAATATGGAAAGCATAGTAGGCAGGCAAGGAACCTCGGTGTGGATACTGTGCAGATAGAGGGATGTATGGGGCCAGGGAACAGGCAGGCAGGAGGGTGTGGGACTGGGTAGCAGGGAGTGCAGGATGGGGCTTGGGTATTCAAAGTAGGCAGAGATGTAGAGGGGTTTGGGGGCAGGCAGTAGTATGTGGGGCTGGGTAGCAGGCAGGGACATACGGGACTGGGGTAATGAGCAGCAAGGGTTTATGAAGCTGGAACAGGGCTGTAAGTGGAGATGTGTGGCACTGGGGTAATGAACAAGCAGTGACCATGGGGATGGGGCACAGGAGTCAGCAGTGCTGTGGTGTTTAGGGCTGGGTGGCACAGGCAGGGCAGAGCTATGTGAGTGTGGGCAGCAAGGATGGATGGGAAGAGCAAGGAGCTGGCAAGATAGGGGTGCCTGGGGCTGGGATAAGGGGCATGGCAGTGGCATGTGGCGTGGGGTAGCAGGGAAAGGCGGGGGTGGGATAGTGCTCCTGGGGTGTGTGGGGCTGGGATGGGGACAGTCAGAGAGTATGCGGGATAGGCTGGGGTGTGTGGGGCTGGCAGGGTGGGGGGCACTGGGCAGGTCAAGGGCACCTACTTCAGTGAGGGCATCACTTCAGTGTGGCCCCAAGGAGGTGATGAGAGGCAGCGCTGTGCAGCAAGTGCTTGGCTGGGCTTTGGCTGCAGTGGCTCTGCCCATCTCTCTGCTTGTTGTGGTTCCTGGGGCACTCCATCCCTAGAGCTGATATCTGGGGCAGCCCAGCAGGTACTGCAGGGCACCCTGTCCTGCTGTGTCCTGGGCTTGCAGCATCCAGTCCCTGGTTTTGGGCATCTGCCTTCCAGTAGCTCCAGGCTCCAAGGAAGGAGGGAGCAGGCAGTTTGCCTGCCTAGGGCTGTGGTTGTCCTTCCTTCCCTCCCCTCCTCCCCTCCTCTTCCTGTGCTTCTCTCCTCCCCGGTTGGTTGAGGTGGCAGGGTTACATCTGATACCATCTGCCCTTTCCCAATTGCTGGCCTGGCCCCAGGGCACGGGGAGGTGGTAGAAAAGCTATGCACCCCTTGCAACCCCCTATCCTTACTCACTGCCTATGATTTGGGAGCCCTGTGTCCTGCCTCTGCCAGGATCTCATGTCCCTTGCTCCTGGTTTGGACTTGGCTTGCTCTGAAGCTGTTGCCTGCCTGGGCACCTCTCCACCAGGCTGGCAGACTCTCACCTCTCTTCTTTCCACCCCCCAGGGCCCGGCTGTGTCGGATGGAGGTAAGGCTGCTCTTACCCTGGAACGGGAGGCCAGCATCATCTTCAGGGGAGGGGGAAGCGCACTGCCAGCCTGGTGCCAGGTCTTGTGGCAGCACAGGCTATGCCATGGGCGGGTGCATGACCAGGCCTGCAATACCGGGACTGTCCGTACCCCCCCATCCCTCCTGCATAGCCAGGTTGTGCCTGTCCATCCCTATGGCTGCTCAGCTGGCACCTTTGGGTGCTGAGGGGCTTCCAGGGCAAGCAGAACTGGGTACCAGCCATCCCTGGGTTCCCTAAGAGAGTCTGTCTGTCTGTCTGTCTCACTGTGAACTGGGTATCTCAGATGGTCCATTTGAGATGGCCATCTCAGCCCCAGTTACCCGTGCTTTAGACAGGAGAAGGGTGGGGAGCCTGGCAAAGCAGCAGCCTGACACACCTCCATTTCTGTCAGCTTTGCCAGGAGAGCACTGCTTCCATACCTTTACCTTCTGTTGCAAATGACCCCTTGCTTCCAGTTGCTCACCAGTCCGACCAGTTCAAAAGCCAGGGTTGCCCCTGGGAACTTCCATCTTTTTGGATACATGGTCACTCTGGGTTTCCCCTAGGGAGGGTTTCCTTAGTATTAGGAGCTGAGGGTGACACTTCTGTACCCTCCACTTGCTGTGTTTGTCCCTTGTCATGGACAGAGGAATAGAGGAGGTGAGTTCAGGCACCTCTGTCCATCTTCCAAGTTCCCTCTGTGCTGTTGTGCTCTCCATGTCCCTTCCACCCTGGTTTCCCTCCTGGGTGGGTACCTTCCTCAAGGCTCTCTTCCCCTGGGAGATGAGTCACAGGTGGAGTCACGGTGACACCCCACCGGTGGCGGGGAGGACTGCCAGCACTGGCAGGGAGAGCTGTCGTGCCTGGAGGTACCAGCTGTGGCATCATGGTGCTCAATCCTCCGAGGATGCTACTGAGATGCTCCTCGTGTTCCCTTCCTGAGGGCTAACCAGCTCCGATCGGGATGGGGCAGATGAACTTGCTGCAGACACAGAAGGCTGCTGGTGCTGGGGAGTGACACTGGGGGACAGGGAGACAGCCAGGACTGACCCTTTTTCTCTCTCAGAGTTAAATGCCTCCAGGGCCCGTGGCAGCAACCACAGTGTGAACAGCCTCCCAGCACCAGCCACCTGTGGCTCCACACAGGGGTCTGTGGTCAGCTGGGCCGAATCCTTCGAGACGCTGCTGCAGGACCATGTGGCTGTCACCTACTTCACTGTGAGTGCCACAGCCCAGGGCTTGGTCCCCACTCCCATCCACTGTTGGCCACCAACTGTCCCACAGCCATGGTACCACCAGGCCAGCAGCTCTCTCTGCCCCACAGGAGTTCCTCAAGAAGGAGTTCAGCGCTGAAAACGTCTACTTCTGGCAGGCATGTGAGCGCTTCCAGCAGATCCCAGCCAGTGACACGCAGAAGGTACATTCTCTGTGCAGTCTGGGTCACCCAGCTGCTGGGAGGGACCTGGGCAGAGCTGTCCAGCCTGTCCTGGGGGTCTAAGCAGGTTGGGGGCTCTTGCAAGAGGAATAAACAGATGGATTTGGTGTACATCGGAAAAGCTATAGCTGGGATACCTGCCCCATGGAGCAGGATGTGCTTCCCCAGCCCAGGGTGGCCAGAGGGTGGCCAGTGCTGCTGGAGGGACAGAAGAGATGAAGGGCAGAGCTGGACTGGGAATCATGGGAACAGAGCCAGGCAACCATGGGGGATGGTTCCTCCCTCAGGTTGTACCTCTGCAGAGGGACTGGCGTGTTGTGCCAAGAGCTTGGCCCTGAAGTCCAGGTACTGAGCTGGTCCCAGGAGAAGGTTGATTCCTGAGGGCTCAGGTGACTGCAGGGGTGAGCCAAGGGTGGCAGCTAGGAGGGGATTCTTGGTCTCAACCTGACCCCCCTGTTCCCCCAGCTGGCCCAGGAGGCACGGCGGATCTACGATGAGTTCCTCTCCAGCCACTCAGTCAGTCCTGTGAACATTGACAAACAGGCCTGGATTGGGGAGGACATGCTGGCCACCCCCTCCCCAGACATGTTTCGCATCCAGCAGCTCCAGGTATGGGCAGCACCTGTACTCCACCTGCAGGACTGGGGAGGGCTCCGGGACCATCCCACATATCACCCAGCATCACTGCTTTCACCATGGAGCCATGCCACAGGGCAGTGGCCAGAGCAAGGTGTAGGTGGGCAGGGGTCTTAGGCACATGCATCCTCCCTTTCCAGATCTTTAACCTGATGAAGTTTGACAGCTACACACGCTTTGTGAAATCCCCGCTCTACCAGGCCTGCCTGCGGGCAGAGAGCCAAGGTCAGCCCCTGCCTGACCTGCGGCCCCACTCCCGCAGCAGCAGCCCCCCTCCTGACCTCAGCAAGGTGAGTGGGGGGGAATGGGGGAGGAGGACATGTCCCTTCAATGCTGGGTCTCTTCCCTGCTGCTCAGACCAAACCCAGCCCCAGGCTGAGGACAAGACAAGCAGTCAGGGGACCAGGGAAAGGCAAGGGGAAACCTTGGATGTCCTCATGCTGAGATGCTGCTCAATTCACCCCAGAAGTCGAAGCTGAAGCCGGGCAAATCCTTGCCACTGGGTGTGGAGACAGCGGGCAGTGGTGCCAACCACAGCCCCCGCCGGTCCTTCAGGAGGGCAGAGCGGCGGGAGCCCTCCTGGGCAGGTAAGTGCTGTGCTGAGCAGGACAGAGGGGCCACACCACTCCTGAAGGGTTCCCACCACTGTCCCTCTGTCTGTCCTAGAGGGGGGAGAAGGCGGCAGGAGCGCCATGATGTGGCGGGAATCCCAGGGCTCACTCAACTCCTCAGCCAGCCTGGACCTGGGCTTCCTCTCCTCGGCCAGCACAGCCACCAGCCCCTGGACAGAGGTGAGTTGTCACTGCACCGACCCCGTAGTATTACAGTGCCACTGGTCAGGCTCATCCTGTCACATCCCTCACCCAGGGCCAACGGAAGAGCCTGGGGGGCAGCGAGGCAGAGCTGCCAGCCAGGCCCATGAAGTACTGCTGTGTGTACCTGCCCGATGGCACGGCCTCGCTGGCCTCTGTCCGGCCTGGCCACTCCATCCGCGACATGCTGGCGGGGATATGTGAGAAGCGTGGCTTTAGCCTCCCTGACATCAAGGTCTACCTGGTGGGGAATGAGCAGGTAAGGCAGTCAGCGGGGAGTAGGACCCCTGCCAGGTAGACCATCCCCATGCTGGGACCATGTGCTGCTCTACTGGCTCTCTCTTGATGGTTTGGCTCTTGCAGAAAGCACTGGTGCTGGATCAGGAGTGCTCCGTGTTGGCAGACCAGGAGGTGAAGCTGGAGAACAGGATAAGCTTTGAGTGAGTGAGAGTTTCAGTGCTGATGCTCTTGCCCACATGGGTCCAGTCCACATCATATGTGGCCACCTACGGTGCCCCACACCCAGTCCCTCATGCAGTCCTGAATGCCCTGGCTCTGCCCCTGCCTGTCACAGCCTTTTCTCCCCCTCTTTAGCCTGGAAATCTCCTCCCTCAATAAGACCATCCGCATCACAGCGAAGTCAACCAAGCGCATCAGGGAAGCGCTGCAGCCCGTGCTGGGGAAGTACGGTGTGAGGATGGAGCAGGCGCTGCTGCGGCGGGTGAGGCTCAGGGGACACGGCCCCAGCCCCTTTGATGGGGGGAGCCACAGGTCTGGGGCTTGGGACAAGGGCTTCTGCCTGTGACTAGGTGGTGGGGAGCAGCGGTCTGTGCTGGGGGGCAGCCTGTGGGCTCATAGAATCCCCATTTTTGGGGTGGGCCATGGCATCCCACTGTGGGCTGGGAGAGACCGGTGGTGTGGTGCCCCGTGAGCCAGCGGGCTCTGGCCGGGGAGCTCGCAGGTCTTCAGCCTGGCTGCCTTTGCCGTGCCACAGTGAGTGTGACGCCGGCTGGCTGTTCCTTTTGCAGCAAGGCGAGCTGGCTGCCCTGGACCTGGAGAAGCTGGTCAGCACAGTGTCTGCTCAGAAACTCGTCCTGGAAACGCCAGCAGGTAAAATGTCCTCCCTCCCAAACCATGTCCCCTCAAGCCATGTCACCCTGCAGAGTGCTCACAGGGCTAGGCTGCTTTCTGGTGGCCATGGCTCCTGCTCCCTGGGATGGGCTCCATCCAGGCCAGGACCAGGATGCTGGGACGGGGCGCTGAGCATCACTTCCCTTGCAGACATGCGAGTGATGGAGAGCACAGAGGCTGCAGCTGCCCCTTCTCCGCTCCGAAGTGAGGTGAGCTTAAGATCCCACCAACCCTAGTCCAGAGATGCCCACACAGCTGCTGCCATGGTCCATGGGGAAGGTGGGCCCTGGCACATGCTGTGGGGCTGGGCAGCAGGTGCTGAGGTGGGAGCCAGGCTGTGGGAAGGCAATTGAAATGTGAGATGGGGGGAGTGCCACCTCCTTGCCCCATGGCTGAGACCTGGGCTGCTCATGGCAGGAGGGAAGCCCAACAGGAGCAGAGCCTGACACGCGGTGGGAGATGCCCTCCTCCTTCTCCCGGCCACGGTCTTCAGCCACCATGAACCTCAACCGCCGCACGTATGACCTGGAAGGTGAGTCCTGGCATGTCTGAAACCTGAGGGGCTGGGGCAAAACACAGGGTGAGGGATGCAGGGCTCCTGGTGTGCTGGGAATGGGTGCAGAGTCCCATGGGTGCTGGCATGGAGCAGGGAAAAGGTGCAGGTGCTGTGCCTGGGACATGTTCAGGGTCATATCAGGTGGAGAGGGCAGCCGAGGTGTTAGGACAAACCCCCAGTGCTGGGCTCAGGTGCATGACCTGCATTTTCTCAGGGCTGGTGGAGCTACTGAACCGTGCCCAGAGCTGCCGGGCCAACGACCAGCGTGGGCTGCTCTCCAAGGAGGACCTGGTCCTGCCTGACTTCCTCCAGCTGCCTGTGCAGGATGACAGTGCCTGTGAAGGATCAAATCAACCCTGTGCTGCCCACCCAGGCTCTGAGGGAAGCAGCCATCCCCAGCCTGCAGAGCCTGCACTGGCTCAGCCTTCATTCGACCACAAGTTCTGACGAGTCCTGCTGCACATCCCCACCTGATGTGTGGTATCCCCAGGCCATGCCAGGGTTCAACATGGGGTCTGACCAGCCCCTGCCCTGCACCGCCGACACTGCCTGGACCACAGATTCATCCACGTCCTGTCCCAAACTGTTGTGTCGTGTCGCTGTGAGTGGCTGAGCAGCTGCCATGCCCCTCCGTGGGGTCGCATCCTGCACGTCAAGGGAGTCCTGTACATAGTTTGAACCCCTGTTGCAAAGCACTTTGCAACATCTTGTGCATGCCTGGCACTATCCTGCCCAGTGCCTCTGCCTGTGGCAGAGCTGCCTGCCCAGCACATCCTGCCTGTGCCGGGCTGCCACAGCCCCACTCACCATTTGGGTGGGGAAAGCACCCTTCCAGCTGAAGGGTGTGTAGGATAGAGAGGGTGAGTGGGGTTTCAAGGCAGGCTCCAGCCCTGAACTCTGGTTCAGAGGCAGGCAGGGTCAGGATGACATATGCCTGGAGCTGAGAGTCAGATCCAGTCCCTGGCCCTGTGGAAACAGGGCTGTCCCATTCATGCGTGGGTCCACCCTTCTGGGGGAGGGTGAGCATGGCCCTGCCAGCCTGTGCCCTGGGCAGGTCGATACTGTCTGCGTTGCCTGAGTGTGGCCTGATCCTGCCACAGTAGCTCTGCACATGGTTCCTGCCCTGGGCAGACAGAGGCAGAGCCAGAAGATTGTGCCAAAAAAGCCTCGCTCCTCCCTTCCAGAGACCCTATGTGGGTGGCTGCTGAAGTGACCTACAGGAGCAAATCCCCTTAGACCCCTTACCCCATCCCAGCTGGGGCTGAGGGTGCTCAGCCTCAGGGACAGGTCTGCCTGATGCCTGAGGAATGCAGCACCCCTGGGTGCTGAGCACCTCAGCCTGGTGTGCAGGTGACCAGCATGTGCCCATCCTGTCATTCTTGCCAACAGCTGTGCTGGGCTGTAGCTTTGAGCCCGGCTCTGCCAGTCCTGCAGATCCCCATGCTCAGCAGCCTGGTGTCCCCAGTGATCTCAGACACAGTCTGCAATAGAGACAACCCCCCAACAGCAGCCAGGAGATCCCCCCAGCATCTGTGTGTGCCAGGGCCCTTCCTGGCTGTGCCTTCGGTAACCGCTCCATCACCACTGTCTGGCCAGAGGCAGAGGGGTGGCCCAGGGCTCCCAGGTTTGCCCAGGGATGGGGGCAAGGCCACCGAACCCCATGGTGCCACAGCCAGCTGTGGTCCCACAGCCCCAGTCAGAGCCCCTCTGTGTCCCCATGGTGCTGCTTACTTCTGTCTGTGGTGTGAAACCAGGGGAAATAAAGAGCATTGCCTGGATGTGCATTCCTTTCCTTCCTCTGTGGCTAAGGCCAGATGATGCTTTTCCCAGCAGCAATGTCCCTCTAACCTTCCTGTACCCCACAGAACCCTCCTGGGACCAGGGCAGAGCTTGGGCCAGCCCTCAACTTCAGTGCCACCTAGATTGGCAGCAAGGGGCAGTGCCAGGAGCTTGTTTTCCCAGCACTGCTGACAGAGTAGGGGAAGCTGTAGGGCCGGCACGACCAAGGACTTCAGCCTCAACCCTGTCAATAAGTGACAGCCAGAGCTGCCAGGGCCTCACCAGGTTAATGATTGTGGGGGCAGCTGGCCAAGAGCCCCCGGGCATGGGGCAAGTGCGGACACCAGCCTCCTGCCCACTGGTTGCACCCCCTGGGCAGAAGGGTCCCCAGGCCCTGAAGAGGCAGGACATGTCCCCTGCTGTTGCTCTTCCTGGGCATTCAGCTCCATCAGTCTGTGACTCAGGGAAGGAGGCTCAGTGATGCTCCAGGAATGGCAGGAATGTCCCCAGCCTGTCCCTGAGTGCCCCGGAGTCCTCAAGGAATCTTCCCTTGCTCCTTTCATACAATTGCACCTGGCTTATCCATGGTGATGGGTCCTGGGAGTGCCTGATCCTGGGGAAATGGGATGTGGCAGCCATGCGGTCTCTCTGTGCCTACTGCCACAGGCACTGGGGCTGGAGGGGCATTTGTCCCCGGTCTCTCCTGCAGACAGATGTGGACATGAGCCAGCTGGGTGTCCTGTGGGTGGATGGAAACTTGGCTGGAGGTGCATAAGCAGCAGGTAATCATAAACAGCATCGAGGAGGTGGTGAGGGCAGTGGTGGTCTCGCTCTGCTCCTGCCCAGCCTGGCATCAGACATGCCAGGAAGATGCTCTGCCCTGGCAGTGCTGCTGGGCTGAGCCGGGCTGCGTGCCACCATCACACCAGTGACAGGACACAGGGATCGTTCTGGTGTTGACGTCACCCACCACCAGTGCCCTGGGGGTGAGGACGTCCTGCGCTGGGCTGATGCTCCGATGGCTCTGAGGATGGTGGATGCATGCTGGGCTCAACTCTGGTTTGGGATGCCCTGGCAGCACTAGTACCAAGCCCTTCTCCTCCTCCTGCTCTCATGCAGTGGATGAAGCACTTGGCACCGAAAGATGGAGAGCTGAGGGCGCTCCGGCATCACCCCTCGGGCATTGGGCTCCAGCACTGCCCCAGGTTTGCTCCTCACTGCAGCAGCTGCCACTTGCCCAGGCTTCGGGCAGGCGAGGAGAGAAGTGCCGGGTACCCCAGGGCCGCGTGCCCCATCCTGCTCCAGGGCTGCAGCAGACGTGAGATGCGGACGGGTTACCCATTAACTACAGGAATTTCTGGGGAGGAGGTGAGCATCGAGCGGAGGCGAGGGGCAACACGGGGCTCCTTAGACTTTGCTCTTGGCGTGTGTATAAAGGGCCGTGGTGCCCCACGGGCCACTTCGCTGGAGGGACGCGTGGATGCGGCATGTGGACACGGCTCTGCCCTGAGTGCCCAACCAGCCTCAGGTGAGCTGGGCCCTGGGCAGGAGGAGTCCTCTTCCCGCGTCCCCTGGGAGATCGCTGGGGTGGTACAGCAGTGGCTGGTGGCCCAGGGGGCCATCAAGTGATGGAATGGTGCTCCTCAGTGGTGCCAGTACTTCAGGGATTCGGGGGGATGTGGCAGTCAGTGTAGCACAGCCATGGTGACGCGCGGCCACCTCTGCTCAGCCTCAACAGGAGTGATGCTGCCCTACCGGAGGGAGAGCCCGGTCCCGCCCCACTGCCCAGTGCGGGGAGGAAGGGTGGTTCATGGGCCCCAGTTTGCCTACTGCCCCAGCCCCCAAGGTAGGTGCCTCCAGCCTTCCTCCTCCTCTTCCTCACCTCACCAGGCTCAGCTCTGCTTCTGGCCAGATCCTGGCCCAGGCGGTGCTGGGCTCTTCTCTGCAGGGGGCTCACCACAAGGACGGGGCTGTAATATGGGTGACCCCTCTTCCCAGCTCTGCATCGGCTGCCGGGTGCCCACACCTGCCCCTTCACCGTTGGTCCTGTGTCCTGCCCTGACCATGGCTTCCCCTGCCCTGGCTCCCCGGGGCGCCTGCGCGAGGGCAGGGAGCGCTACGAGCTGGATGTGCTGCCCTGGCAGGGGCCCCGGCTGGGCTTGGACGAGCTGCAGAAGCCAGGTGAGACCCTGTGAGTGGTGGGCATAGAGCACCTGGGTTGGGGAACACTCCAGAGACCTGCTGGAGACACCCAGGGGAGCTTGGAGTGCCAGGAGTGTGGGGTGCAGGATGGGGAGAGGAGTGTGGGGCAACACTCAGCTCTCTGAGGTGACGTAGGAAGAGCTGAGGGACAATGGAAGCAATTGGCACAAGGCACTCCAGGGTGAGAGGAGATGGAGGGGACTCAGGGAGTGGTGGCACAGCTGGGGATGAGCCCTGTGCTGCCAGGGGCCAGGAGGATGGTGTAGGGCTGTGGGAGCCCAGGGAGCCAGGGCCATGCCACAGCAGGCATTTAACATTCTCTCTTGTCTTGCACAGAGCTCGGGTGCTGGGCCAGGGTCCAGTCCATCTGTGTCTCCCTTCTCAAGGTGCCCCTGATGTTTGGCTTCTTGTACCTCTTTGTGTGCTCCCTGGACGTGCTCAGCTCTGCCTTCCAGTTGGCTGGAGGTAGTAAGGTGGCAGGGACTCCTTGGAGTCTGTTGGCACCTGCAGTGCCAGCAGACTGCTGCTCACATTCTTTTGCAGGCAAGGTGGCAGGGGACATCTTCAAGGACAATGCCATCCTCTCCAACCCTGTGGCTGGGCTGGTGGTGGGCATCCTGGTAACTGTACTGGTGCAGAGTTCCTCCACCTCCACCTCCATCATTGTCAGCATGGTCTCCTCAGGGTGTGAGTGTGCCACGAGGTTCCTGGGGACCTGAGGCTGGGGGACAGGGTGGCTGGATGGGGTAACCCTGAGCAGAGTCATGCGAGGCACACGGTCTCTCTGTCCCCAGTGCTGGAGGTGCGCTCTGCCATCCCCATCATCATGGGCTCCAACATCGGCACCTCCGTCACCAACACCATCGTGGCCCTCATGCAGGCTGGTGACCGCAGTGAGTTCAAACGGTGAGAGCTGCTTGGGTCAGAGGACACTTGGGAGGCTGGGGGCTCCTCCCCACGGCCATCCCATGCCAATGGGCTCCTCCACTCCGACAGAGCCTTTGCCGGTGCCACGGTGCACGACTGCTTCAACTGGCTGTCGGTGCTGGTCCTGCTGCCACTGGAGGTGGTAAGTGGGTACCTGCACCACGTCACCCGCCTGGTTGTGGCCACCTTCAACATCCGCAGTGGGAAGGATGCCCCTGACCTGCTGAAGATCATCACAGAGCCCTTCACCAAGCTCATCATCCAGGTCTCCTCAGCTGTTGTGTTCACCAGCGTGGTGTCCCCAGGCTGGTAGTGGTCCCCTAGCACTGGTGTCCCTTTGGCGGTGGTTGTATCCAAGTGTCCCCAGGCTGGCAGTGGTGTTCTGATCCCAGTGAAGATGTCCCCAGGCTCGGAGTGCTGTTAGACCCCAAGAGCCCTCACCAATGTCTATTGTTGCAGCTGGACAAGTCGGTGATCACTGGCATTGCAACAGGGGACGAGAGCTTGCGCAACCGGAGCCTCATCCGCGTCTGGTGCGGCCCTACATCCCCACAGGTGAGGGGTCTGTGGCCCTGCTGGGGCCACCAAACAATCCCGTGGAGGAGGGGTGGGGAGGGGCTGGCTGAGGACACTGTGGAGCCAGCTGCAGCACACCCTCTCCCTGCAGATGGCTGCTGTGGGGCTTGGCCCCCTCCCGAACTGCACGGTCCCTGGGCACTGCAGCAGTAAAGGCATCGAGATCCTCCACAATGTCACCAGGCAGAAGTGTGAGTGGGTGCGGGAAGCTTGGGCAGGGCTGGGGCGCAGGACATGGGGCTGGGGAGGTGCAGGCAGGGCTGGGGGGCTGTACGTGGGATGGAGCAGTGCATCCATGATGTGGGGCAGGGCTGGGAGATGCTGGGCCTGGGGTCCAGGTGTGGGGCTGTCTGCGGGGGCAGGTTTGTGAGTGGGGCCGGGCCAGCCCCAGCCCCTCGCCCAGCCATGCTGTGGGGCAGGCGAGCATCTCTTCACTGACACACCACTGCCCGACCTGGCCGTGGGGCTGGTGCTGCTGGCCGGGTCTCTCGTCGTGCTCTGCACCTGCCTCATCCTCCTCGTCAAACTCCTCAACTCCCTGCTTAAGGGGCAGGTGGCCAAAGCCATCCAGAAGGTCATCAACACTGGTGAGTAGGACAGGGACCATTTGCCACCCAGCCACCCATCCCCATTCCCACCTGCCATCCTCAGACCTATCCCTGGTTGTCCCTGCCCTCCATCCCTGCCTGTCCCACATGTCCCCTGCCTGTCCCTGATCCCCACTCTGCTTATGGCTGTCATGGCCTCTGGGTGTCCCCTTCCTCTTTCCCCAGCCACTGGGCTGGCCTCATACCCAAGCTTGACCCCATACCTAGAGCGTGGCCCCACAGCCTCTCCCCAGCACCATGTAGGAGCTCTGGGCTGCTCCTAACTGATGTGTCCATGCCCATGTCCATGTTTGTGTCCACACTCGTGCCCATGGCCGTGCCGTGGCAGACCTCCCACACCCTCTCAGCTGGCTCACTGGGTACTTCGCCATGGTGGTGGGTGCTGGGATGACCTTTGTGGTGCAAAGCAGCTCTGTCTTCACATCAGCCATCACACCCCTGATTGGTGAGTCCCAGCCATGCCTGGTCCCCTGCCAAGTGCTGGTCCCTGCTGTGATGGCCTGGGGGTGCTGTGGCACTCACAGGGATGGAAGGAGCTGTGCCTCCTTGGGAGAATGTGGGGATGGCTTTGGCAAGGAACAACGGGACGGGATGGGGTGTCTCTCCCACAGGTCTGGGAGTGATCAGCATTGAGCGTGCCTACCCGCTGACCCTGGGCTCCAACATTGGCACCACCACCACCGCCATCCTGGCCGCCCTGGCCAGCCCAGGGGACAAGCTGGCCAGCTCCTTCCAGGTACATGCAGCCTGGGGCCACAGCTGCTCTGGCTGAGGGCACTGGGCAGGGCAGGGGCTGGGGGAAGCCCACGTGCCTAGCCCAACCAGGATGCTATTCCTACAGATTGCTCTCTGCCACTTCTTCTTCAACATCTCTGGCATCCTGCTGTGGTACCCACTGCCCTTCACCCGCCTGCCCATCCGCATGGCCAAGGCGCTGGGCGAGCGCACGGCCAAGTACCGCTGGTTCGCCGTGCTATACCTCATCATCTGCTTCCTCCTGCTGCCCTCCCTCATCTTCGGCATCTCCATGGCGGGCTGGCGGGCGCTGGTGGGGGTGGGCACACCCTTTCTCGGCCTCCTCTTCTTCGTGGGGCTGGTGAACGCACTGCAGGCGCACAGCCCTGGCCGCCTGCCCAAATGGCTGCAGACCTGGGACTTCCTCCCTGCCTGGATGCACTCGCTGCAGCCCCTCGACCGGGTCATCACCCAGGCCACCCTCTGCTGCACCGACCGATGCCGCAGCCCTGAGGGCTGGGAGGAGCATGAGGGCCCTCCCAGGGACAAGGCCAGGCTGGGGCTGGACAACCCCGTGCTCTCCTACCCTGAGGAGATGCCCAGCCCCACCATCCGGGTGGGCTCCCCTCGCCCACTCCCACATGGTGCTACCCGGCTGTAGCTGGTACCACACACCTGGGCTGCTGCTCCCGTGGCCGCTGGTTTCTGCCATCCCTGCTCAGCTGGTGTTCAATAAAGGCTGAGCGCCCATGCCCCAGGGTGTGTCTCTGGTTCGTGCATCTGCAAACCCTGTGGAGCCACAGCTGCAGCCACAGGTGACAGACACCCATCATCCTCCCCCTTTTCAATGCACTATCACTGCTCAGCCTGGCCCCAGACAAGTGCCAGTGCTGGAGATATGCCAAACATGTTGCTGGTGCTGTGGGGCACACGCTGAGGATGCCACAGCTAAACCCTGCACTCTGCAGAGAGCTGCACCGAGGTGTGTCATGGGCAGCTTCTTCCACTGATCTCATCTCCAGAGGGCTGAGTTGGCAGAGTCCATGGTGGCCCACTGTGTGCCACAGCAGCATGTCACTGAGCGAGGCACAGCAAGGGGCAGCCAGCAAGGTGCTGGGGTGCTGCACTGCTGCTGGGCTGGGGATCAGCAGGATGTCAACCCAGCATAGCCAGGCAGTGCCCCTGGCCCACCAGGCACCCTGGCACCCATGGCAGGAGCCCTCCTGCCACGGTGACCCTGGAGGGAGCCCTTTAAGTGTTGGCAATAACAACTTCTCCCACTGCCCACGGATGTTTGGGCTCCTGCCAGTGATATCAGCCCATGCTTCCCTCCCTCCCTCCCTCCCTCCTTCCCGCCCACCCTCCTCCCATACTGGGACTAGCAGAGCCAGCAGCACTGCTGCGGGAGCCTCTCTGTGTTCCCGGCACCGCAGCCATCCCACATGCCCAGCCGGGCGACCACTGGGCCAGAACAACCTCTGCCTTGCCACCAGACCGGGTCAGTGCAGGAGCGGTGGCAGCCAGGACACTCCCCTGGGGACACAGCAATACTGGGGCTGCGCCCACATCCGCCGTGGGGCCGGTGAGTGGGTTGGGGGGACACCCCATGAGGCTTTGTCTGCCTGAAGGGTCAGGCCAGCATGGAGCCAGCCAACGCCCTTTCCAACAACTCCAGTAATGGCAGTGGCACCAGCAGCAGCACCAGCAGCGCCCCACACTCGCCTGCAGCCACAGGGCTCATCCTGCTGGCCGCCCTGGCCGTCCTGTTGGCCACATTGGTGGGCAATGCGCTGGTGGTAGTGGCCATCTCCACCAGCCGGGCTCTGCGGGCGCCACAGAACCTCTTCCTAGTGTCCCTGGCTTTGGCAGACATCCTGGTGGCTGTCCTCGTCCTGCCCTTCTCGCTGGCCAACGAGGTGATGGGCTACTGGTACTTTGGCGGGCTGTGGTGCAGCCTGTACCTGGCGCTGGACGTGCTGCTCTGCACTGCATCCATCGGGCACCTCTGCGCCATCAGCCTCGACCGCTACTGGGCCGTCACGCGGGCGGCGCGGCTCAACCTGCGCCGCAGCCCACGGCGGGTGAAGGGGATGATTGGGGCAGTCTGGGCATCAGCAGCCCTGGTGGCCCTTCCACCACTCCTGCGGCCGCGGCCAGGGGGCCGGGAATGCCAGCTGAGCCAGGAGACCTGGTACGTGCTGGCCTCCTGCACCGCCTCCTTCTTCGTCCCCTGCCTCGTCATGGTTGCCGTCTATTGCCGCATCTACCGCCTGACTGCCCAGCGCACGGCCACCCTCCTCGCCACCCGCTCCCCGTGCTCTGCCAGCAATGGAAAGGTGTCAGGAAAGGTGTCAGGTGTTGGGATGCCAAGATGGCGGTGCCGGAGCCAGAACCAGAGCGTGTTGCTCTGCCGGCGGCGGCTGGTGCGGGCGCGGGAGCGGCGCTTCACCATCGTGCTGGCCGTGGTGATGGGGGCCTTTGTGCTGTGTTGGTTCCCCTTCTTCTTCACCTACAGCCTGGGAGCTGTCTGTGGGGAGGGCTGCCATGTCTCCAAGCCCCTCTTCAACTTCTTCTTCTGGATTGGCTACTGCAACAGCAGCCTCAACCCCCTCATCTACACCCTCTTCAACCGGGACTTCCGTGCCGCCTTCCGCCGGCTCCTCACCATCCCACGCCAGCCCCACACCTGAGGACCTGCTGTGACACCAGGGACGTGGCCCCAGCCTCACTAACTGTTGGCAGCACCCGGCTTCAGCACAAATTCTGGGCAGCAATGCCAGTGTGCAGGTTGAGGTGGTTCTGGAGATGCAGAATTGAATAAAACGAGACCAAAGCCTGTGCTGGTGTCTGCCTGTTGGGAGCCCAGCAAACGGCACCCATTGTCACCTGGGTCACCCCACCTGTACCCCTGGCAGCACTGGTGGTGACAACTCGCTGTGGCAGCTCTGGTGAGTATCAGCCCTCCCCACTGCCAGGCATGTCCCCCAGCATCCTCTTGAGCAAGGGATTGGCCCCACAGTTGCTGCAGGGGGATAAAACTCTCCATGTGGCAGTGTGACCAGCACTGAGCTGAACTGGCTGTGCCACCACAGCAGCCCAGTCTGAGCCTTGTGCCTCTCTGCCAAGGCTGTGCCCCCTGGGGACATTCCAGCTGTACCATGTAATGGGGGCTCTGAGGGGGCACACACGTACCCATGGTGGGGTACAAGAGGTGTGGGTCTGGAGTGGGACACCACACATCCTACTCAGCAGCTTCACTGGGATCTTGCTGCAGGAGAGAAAGGAGGAATGATATCTCAGTGCCGGAAAGGCCAACCTCCCTTGGGAGAGTGTGGGAGATGGGATCACACGGGAACAGGCTCCGGCACAGCCTGACGTGCAAGAGGCCACGAAGGCAGCTGTGGGGCGAAGACCCAGGGACAACTACACTCCCTCAGGGGCAAAAGCCACCCCACACCCGCCTTGCCTGGCTCCTTGCTCCACTCTGCACAGACACCCAGGGGTCAGGGGCTGCTCCACTTCTTCAGCTTTGCTACTCAAAATAGAAAATCTCAAAACACTGGACTTGAACTCAGCTAAAAACAGCCGCTGGCGCCTGGGAGCTGGAGCCAAAAGAACACTGGCCCCCACCAACCCCCACTGGCCCCCACTGGGGTGAGCACAGCTTCGCTGTGAAACCCATGGGGGCTGAGTGGGATGGGGGTCCTGGCTGCGGCGAGGATCCCTGAGCCATTCCCTATGCCTGCCGGCCCCATGTGTGGAGGCTCATGGTGTGAGCTTTGGAGCCAGCAGAGGTTCCCAGTGGAATCGGGCCGGGATGGGGCCCGGCGCTGACCCCCAGAGGCAGCTGGAGTTGAACTGGCACTGCCTGCGGAAGGAGCTGCCCTATCGCTGCCGCCCGGCTTCCCCTCCCGTGGCTGCCTTTTCACAATTAAACAGCACTTTGCTTCTAAAAATATCCAGGAGATGAGGGTGGCTGGTGGGGACCTGGCCAGCCCGGCTCTCAGAGGGGCACCAGCCCTGTGGACAGCACCCCGGGGCCTCACAGTGCCCTGGGCATGCACCCTGCACGGGATACCAGGCACTGTCCCTCCTCCCGGGCATGAGCACACGGCTCTGGGATGCCGCAGGGCAGGAGAGGCCAGGGACCAGCTGGAGTGGGGGCACTCAGGGACCTCCCTGCTTGGGCAAGGCCTTGCCTGCACATTAGGGCAACATGCAAGCCACTGAAGGGAGCTTCAGGCTGATGTGCAGAACATCATATCCTGAGAGCTGGATGGGGTGTGGGAGCACCTGGTCTCCCTCTTACCCTCCAGGTGCTACTTGGGGTGTTGAGGAAGAGCTCCCTCACCAAGTATCTCCTGCTGTATCCTCATTCAGCACATCATCCCCTTTGCAGAGGGTTGAGCAGATAGCTCTGTCTCTCTGCAGCAGATATTTCCTTTCAAGCTTGTAAAGTCTGTTTCATCTGCCACAGCATGACAAGCTGTGCTTGTGAGCTGTTGTGACCCCAGTACCACCAGGAAAGCAGCTCCCCTCCAAGTCCTGATTGCTGGTGCCCAACTGCAGCACCTGTGCCTGGAATTCCATCCTGCGTTTTCAGGCTGTTTCTTCAATTTCCAAAGATTATTTTGAATTACTCCCCAGACAAGCTTGGGTTCAGAGCCCTCTTGAGCCATGTCCCTTCCACAGACATAAAAAGCAGAGTGCCAGTTCCACTGCCTGGGCTGCTGCTTGCTCTGTTGGGGACATCAGGATCCCCTGGACGCTGGTGTTGCTCTGGCAGTGCCCTTTTGGCCCATGACTCCTGTTGGTGGCGGTGCTGCAAAACATCATCAGGGAGGAAACAGAAAATAGCAACCCAAGGGTTAATCGTGGAAAGGGATGGAAACAAAGTCATTCCTTTTGAAGTTCAAAATAAGCATGTGCCACTTTGAGAGGAAAGCAGCTCTAAAAGAGGAAAGCTCACAGCATGAGCTCATCCCTCCAGGCAGAGTGACAGGGAGATCACCTCCAAGGTGTGGCAGGGCAAAGCATCCTCCTCCTCCTCCTCCTCCTCCTAATCACTGCAGGTTTGTAACCAGATGTGAAGACTGATTTTCAGTGGATACTGAAAGAGACCACAGGCAGTACCAGCTGCATGGACAATGAGTGCTTGGTGTAATTTGTGTTATTATCTACCTTGCTACAGCCTGAGGACAGAATCCCTTTGCTCCTGCACGGGGATCTGAGCCTGGGGGCCCGGGCTGCCATTGACAGAGACCAGGGAGGGACCTGCCCATCACCGTGTTCTCCTCTACGCCCTCACCACCTCCAACCTTGCAGCTACGGCAGCCCTGCTGCCACCAGCTGCTGGAAGGGCAGGAAGGAGACATCGCCCGTGGGCTGGAGCAAGAGACAGGGGCTGTGGGAAGGCAGAGGTGACGTCCTTACTTGGAAGCCAGAAGGAGTACAAAGCAGGGCAGACAGCACTCGGTTAAGAGGATTAACGAGGTGTTTTACACCCAGGAGAGGCAGGGAGGTGGGCAGGTCACCTGCAAGGCTGATAGATCATCGAGGGCTGCTCGAGTACGAGCCAGCTCTGCAGGGAAACCAAGGGCTTGCTTGCAGGGGATCAGAGGGGAAGAGGTTTCCACACCGCAGCTTCTCTTCAGACGGGGTCACACTGCTGCTCATTAAAGCACCAGTAAAAAAAAATTGCTTTTGGAGCAAACCACGGGCGGGAAGAAGCCGATGGGAGCTCAATCACCAGAACGGGCTCGCTCCCAGCAAATAGAGGCTGCGCTGGGGGTGACGAAAACCCAAACCTCCACGGCAGCAGTGACCAGGGAGACCGGGCGCAACACCGCAGCTCAGGTCACCCACCCCCTGACACCGGGGTTAACCAACACCGGGCACACGCTCGGACTTTATTGAAGCAAATTACCCGTCTACGAAGAGCGGGGAGGTTCCCCTAAACACGTAACTGGTTCTGTGAGGAGGGCACAGGACATCGCAGAGACTCTTGTGAGCACCAGCAACACGTCGCTCCCTTACGGCGGAGGGGGGGGCACTAGGACCTGGGAGAGCCCCAGCGCTCGTCATATAGAGACTCTCGGCCCCGCCCCACTGAACACCCTATCACGACCCACTCTGCAGTTGAATGGCAGCTCATTCACCAATCAGATGCAGCAGGAGGCGGGTCTCTCCTCTTGGCCGGCGCCATTGCCGCTCACCCAATCCGCTCCCGGTTCTCCCTGAATGACACCTCGTCCTCCAATCAGTGCCCGCCTCCGCTTCCCGGCAGCGTTCCGCCAATGGCCGCGCACTCTCCTGGCCCCGCCCCGCCCTCCTGTACCCCTCGGGGCCAACGGGAGGGCGGCGCGGGAGGAGCGTGGCCAGGGATTGGCGAGCCTTGCGCGGGGGGCGGGGCCGGCGGCGGCGGGCTGGGGGCGGCGGGCGCGGGCCGAGCGCGGGCAGCGGGGCCGGACCCGGGGCCGGAGCCGCCGCCGGGCCCATGGAGCTGGAGAACATCGTCGCCAACACCGTCCTGCTCAAGGCCCGCGAAGGTGAGCGCCGGCGACGCCGGGGGCCGGCGCGGCGGCAGGCCCGGGCTGTGGCCGTGCGGTGCCGCCCCCTCCGGGGATCGGCCCTGGCGGTCCCTCCCGGGACATCGCGGCTTTAGAGGGGAGCGGGGAAGTGCGGCGCGGGCTGGTAACGGAGGTAACGGTCGCCACTGGGCATTCGGCTCCCTCTGTCCGCCGCGGAGGTTGCCCGGCGCCCGGTGCTGAGCCCCTTCCGGGGGTGCTGAGCCACCTCCAGGGGTGCTGAGCTCCTTCTGGGGTGTTGATCTCCCTCCCAGGGGTGCTGAGCCCCTTCTGGGGTGCTGAGCTCCCTCCCAGGGTTGCTGAGCTCCTTCTGGGGGTGCTGAGGCACCTCCAGAGGTGCTGAGCTCCCTCCCAGGGGTGCTGAACCTCCATCTGGGGGTGCTGAGCTCCCTCTCGGGCCGCCCTGCTGCCTCTCCGTGTTCAAACCTCCCCATCTGCACCCTCGCCATGCCCCTTCCAGGGGCTGCTCCTGCCCCTCTGGCACAGGGGGAGAGGCGGCTTTGAGTGTTGGAGGAGGAAAAAGAAAAAAAAAATGTTGATTTCAGGCTTATAAAAGTGCTGCTTCCCACACACGGGCCGGTCCCGAAACTGCGGTGGGGAGCCCCACCCATCCACCACCCTCACACCGGGCCTGGCCCTGGGTCTGCCGGGCTCCCAGAGCTCTCCCACGGCTCCAGGGGTCACAGCTGGATCCCAGAGCTCCAGCAGCAGGGCTGTCCTGAAGGCACAGGGGAGCTGCATGGAGGAGCCTCAGGAGGGGATGGGAAGTGTCACACAGGACCCTGGTCCTGTGCAGAGAAGATCTACCTCAGCCAGGCCTCGAGGAGTTCATTAGATCACAGTGGTGGGGAAGTGCAGTCGCCCCCTGGCCAGACTGAGCCATCCTGGAGCCTGGGAGACCCGCTGAAATCCAGTTAGAGGGCTTTGGAGATTAGATTTGGTGGGAGCAAAGAGCAGTGAAATTAAATTTGCATGGGCAGGAGCATTTCTGAGCTGCTTGAAAACCGGGCTCAGTGTAAGTACTTGTTGCACAGTGATCGTGATGTTCAGGTTTATGGTGGCAAGGTTTGGTTCAAAACCAAACAGCAGCATTTGTGACCTCC